GAAATTGTCCTTTGGCTTCACTCAGATCTACAGGGCTGAGCTGCTCAACCATGCCCTCCGTTATGGAGGGAACCCAGTTGTGGGCGGGCATGCAATCAGAAAGCTCAAGTAAAGAAAACACAAACTGATCGGTCACATGATGCCAGTTCTCAGCTAGGGCCACAGCAGCTCTGGCCATCTACAAATTCAAGCTGACACAGACGGTAAAGAAGGGATTAGAGTTCAAAGGAACTCTAACAGGTTACCCTGAAGTAGAATAGCTGTCTGGAATGACTATTAAATTAGAGAGATTAGATTAGAAAGACCCTTGTGAGTCTGTAATTTCTAGTAACAAGACACTATACCTTTCTCTTTGGCTCCTTTCTCTTATGGAAGAAGCACAAGCCTCTGAGATATGTAAGCAAAGACAAAATCCACCAAGTGATTCCCTTGGAGACCTGACAAGGGCCTCCCAGAACTAGCTCCTGAGGCCTTCATACCCAGAGCTTCAGGGAAGTGACTAGTCACTAGGCAAAGTTTTCATAATAAAATTAATGACCAACATCAAAGGACTGCCAGGACTATCTATCACATCATTCTCTGAGGGAAGGAGAGAGGCAACAGAACTAAAGGAGAAAAAGATTAGGAGATAATGAAAACACCTAAAGATAGGCTTGGTTTGATTTTTATTCAGTGTTTCCATAAGCTTATCCGTAAAGACATTTATTTCTTACATAGTGAAGTGTGTAAGTTGATGATTTAAATCTGTGGAGTCTTGATCAAAAAAATTCTCAAGAGGATTGACAGCAAAGTAGAAGGTCTAATACTAAAGACATGCAGTTGCCACCTGGTGGCAGCATATCTAAACTAAAGACTGCGAGGGGTGTGTATGTGTGTGTGTGTGTGTATGTGTGTGTGTGTGTGTGTGTGTGTGTGTGTGTGTGTACACACAAAAGTTTCAGGGAAAGAGAGCCTAGAGCAGGATCATAAAATCTCAGGTTCAGCTCCCAGTTCCCCTTTACTCAATACTGGGAATTTCCCCTGTCGATCTTTCTACTCAGTGGTTGTTCTAGAATCTCCTTTGGTAAAGGGGAGGTCATCACATCTCTTTCCCCCCACTCAAGTCAGAAAGAGGCAGATCTGTCTCCAAAACAGTTAGAGCATCTCCAAAGTAGTTCTGCAAACTGGTCTAAAGCCCACTAGTCCACAATACTGGTCCAGCCAGCAGGCGAATGAATGAGCAAGTGAGTGAAGGAACACAGGCCAATTTTGTAATGTGTTTATTTTCGGCATTTAGAGTAACCATCACAAACAGCCACACAGGAAGGGGATAGATAACCCTGGCTATTTAGACACTGGAAAACACTTCCTCTGATGTGCCCATCCCAGGGCTGGCAAATGCAGATCCCAGAAGGGCACACCAGGAAAGCCCTCAACCCCATCCAAACGCCCAGATTCCTGATCCAAGTTCTTCCTTGATGGAACTTAGATTAATTACTAACTCTTGGAGCCCTGGAAAAGGGAGATTATTCTATCCACCAAGCCTAAGGACCATCAGATAGATAAGAAGACAGAGATGAAAGCAGTCAGTGGACTTCAAAGGGCTGCCACATACTGAATTATGGCCTTCCTGGCTAGTGCTGCTATAAGCATCTTAGTTATCAGTATGGTCTCTATCCTACTTGTTTAGGAACCAAGCTGCCTTCTCACTCAGATAGTCAACACCAGTAAAATGAATGACTCTTCCCAGGTCCAAGTTGCTGCATCTTCTGAGTCAGTAGGGAAGGGACCATTCTCAAGGTTAAATCTAATAATTGCAGAGACAGAAACAAACCAAACATGTCTAAAATCCCAAATTTCAGAGATTATATGATCTAGCAAATGAAAAATGTGGTGGGTTTCCATTTCTCGCTCAAAATGGAGCCACATTCTATAGCCTGCCTCTCTCCTGGTAGCCCCCTTCCAGCTCCACAATGACCAAACCTCCCCACCCCCAGGTGCCATGGGACTTTACAAGTTGCCAATCAGCCACAAACCAGCCTAGTTGCCCAGCACACGGAGCTATGGGAAGAGCTGGGGAACCTCAGAATTTCCACTGCGAAGGGCCCAGCAGACAAGGAGTAATGGGATGGATGCCTTTAGCATTCCCTGCAGGAGTCCAGTGATACAGTAGGGAGCTCCATGTACTGGAGCATCCAGGGGGATAACAAGGGTTAAGACTATGTCAACACAAAGTGCCAGGAAAGTGGGGAGTTTTTTCATTGTGGGACAGTCCTATAACTAGGGGACAGGGCAGAAATGATGCATAGTCTCTGGATTCCCAAGTGGGTTCCCGTGGTTCTCCAAGTGTTCTTTTGTGAATGGGTCCCTGTTCCACAGTGGGAAGGACTGGTCTTGGTCCATCTTGTATCTCCAGTGCCCAGGAGAGGCAAGGAGCTAGAATACACAGATGCTCCAGAAATGCTTGTTGGGTATGTAGGCGAATAGATGTGCAAGTGCAGGGGTGCCAGAGGCTGTCTGGTTATCTGATGTCTGGAGCATAGATAGAGGAGGCATGAGTACAGAGGTTAAGGGTTTCTTTAAATGAAATGGACTAAAATTTACAATGTTCGAGGAAAATTTCTGGCCTGGAATAAAAAAAAATATGATCCTAGAGAAAGGCCTGGATTCAAATATAGGCTGTCCCACTTATCAGTTGTGACACTTTGGGAAAGTTGTTTAACTTCTCAGTGCCTCAGTTTCCCCACTTTTAAGGTGCAGATCATGAAGTGGCCCTGTCTGGCTGCTTTAAGGATTCAATGAGACAAAGGATGTGGATGGTAGGAATGATGCCTTCCCTTCTCATGTGCCTGCCAGGCCATAGCTATTTGGGAAAAGCACACACTAGTGCTTCCAGTCCTCCCAATTAGGTGCTGGAAGGGGGCTCCTACTATCCTCTACCCCTGAGAAGCAGCTGATCTCAATGGCAAAGGCCTAACAATCACTGGCCCACATCTTGCAGGTGCTGGGGTCAGAGTCAAAGACCTTGCTGGTGTCAGGGACACCCCAAGTCCCCAATGAGCCTATGCCTATTGCTCCAAGGCACATTCATGGTGCCTGCTTTACCAGGAATTTGTGCATGAGAAACTTAGAACTGCCTCCTTGCAGTCCCTGGAAGGGTGATAACATCCAAGCTAGCCCAATCCAGAAAGCCCTCTGCCCATAAAGCTGATACATTGCTGGGTATCTGTCTTTATGTTTCTTTCGCTTTCTCTCTCTCTCTCTCTTTTTCCCCACGGTGCTGGGAATTAAATCCAGGGTGTCACGCATGCTAGGAAAGTGTTCTACCACTGGCTACATCCCTGGTCTGTCATGTTTCCTGAATCTACTAATTAGACTCAGAGGAAAGGAGGGCTAAGTCTTGSACAGTGCTTAGCACTTGATAGCAAATGATGGTAAAGACATTAAAAAACCTCTTGGACAGCTGTTGTGTGGTTCTCCTGCTTCACCACCAACCAGTCCATGCATTGCAATCCGATGCTAATTAGATCAGCAATTCTCAAGGGTGGCACACTGCCCCCTAGGGGGCACTTTGAAGATCTAGGAGAGTATTTTGGGTTGTCACCAAGACTAGGGACACCAAGGGCATTCAATAGAAGGGGAAAGGAAGCCAGACACCCTGCAATGTGTGGGACAGCCTTGCAAAATGAAGTGTTGGTATACCCCATGGCTTTCGTTATCYCATTACACATATATAAGTTAGAAAAAAAGTTTATAATACATATTTATACAAATGTGTGCATTTGTGCATATCTGTATACATATATATATATACACACACACACGTGTGTGTGCAAAATTTTAAATTTAATATCAACAAATATAAGGAAAAGATGTAATACCAAACTATTATTAATGCTATATTTACTGGGGGGGGGTCATATAGACTTTTATCAACTCAGTTGTACATTTCTATTTTATTTCAAGTGTTTGTAAAAAYGTTATTACTTTTGAAAGTGGAAAAATAAAATAAAAWCAACATACTTACTCCCAAATGGTCAAAATTAGTTAAGAAATTTACAAGAAAAAAAAATCACGTCCTGCAGCATGATATTTTAGAAATAATTTTACTGTGTATTAACCCAGTAAAATCAGGTTATCCCCCCGCAAAAGAAAAAAAACTGCTTATTTTCTGAGCCTAGAACCTAACTCTTTCATATGTAAATACCTTTTATTTTTGCATGCTCTGAATTTTCCAGGAACTCATTTATTAGGAAATTGTGAAGAGAAGTTCGCAATTTCAGAAAATCCAGGCATTGATGTCAACATTCCTCATAGCCTTTGAGTCACCAAGATATTGGATGCATGTCAGTCTCCATCTGAGGCCATGACATTACAGTGATCATGAATGCAGGTGTCTACCTGGAACTGTTTCAAGTGTCTTCATGGGCAGGCATGCCTGGCCATGTCCTCTCCCTTAATTTCTATTTAACATTTCAAATAGGGCAGGACACTGAGTGTCTCAGGGTTTCATGTGTAGGTACACTATATTATACATGAATGTCATGCAGGGTAGCAAAGGGGGCTTTACAAAATGTTGGTTATAAAAAGAGGCTGTTGCAGGGCTGGGGTTGTGGCTCAGTGGTAGAGCATTCGCCTAGCATGTGCGAGGCACCGGGTTTGATCCTCAGCACCACATAAAAATAAATAAATAAAATAAAGGTATTGTGTCCAATACAATTTGAAAAAAAAAAAAAAAAAAGCGGCTGTTGGACCAGGCAGGGGGACTGGAGCTTCTCAGATCACAAGACAATGCCTTTGTGAGTTGTGACTTCCAGGCAAACCCTCACAGCAGCCACAACAGGGGAAGTGTGGGGAAGGGTTCTACGTGCCACAGCACATGACTGCAGGCCTAAAACGAACACAGGATCTTCATTTGTCTGAGTGGGGCAGGGGTAAGCAGGGACTTCCCCAAACAGACCAGAATGAAGAAAGTCATTTCTCAGCAGAAACATGTAACCAGAACTGGCCGGGCTACTTACAGAGGTCTTCAGTGGCCGCAGGGGCGAAGGCAGCCATGGACTCATACAGCTCTTCGTCACAGCCGGGGTTGAGGGAGCATTTCATGAGCAGGTCTGTGGACAGGTGGGCCATGGACTCGTACACGGCGTCAGCCTCGGCCTCCTCCCCGTGCATCAGCTCCTCTTTAATATGACTCTTCAGCATGTCTACAGTCTCCTGCAAGAGAAGAAGGGCCCACAGGCACAATGACRCTGAGCCAGGCGCATTTCCCCAGGGGGCCTGAAGCAGGCATTCGCATGAGTCAGGATTGCGTTTGCCTGGTGTACCTACCTGTGTTCTCCCTGGGGCCAAGCTTTAGGCATTATTTTTTTCTTTCCTTACATTGTGTTCTTTGCTTTAATCATCATATCTTCCCCTAACACTCATCAGGGTTATGCTCTCAAGAGATACTGATTAAATATTCAACAGCTAGAGGATACAAATAAGAAATTACTTTCTCATGAGCACCTCTCATGGGTCGGTGCGATGCTGGTTGTATAACTAGATGCATGCTATTCTTTCCACGCTGCTTGAGAAAGTTATTATTTCCTAGTTTACAAACAAAGCTCAGAAAAATTGTGGTGCTTTACTTTAGGGGTTACAGTCCTGGATTTTGACCTTTCTACTTCATCCTAGTGGTTCCTCAATAGGGAGCATATGACACAAGAGGCCACAGAGAAATGCAAGCTGGCCCAACTGAGCCTTGCTTCTGGGTCCCAGAGTGACTCCCTCAGACCCCATCCCTTCTGGCAGCCTTCTTCAAGGTGTCTGGTGGTTTCCAGAGCTTCATGTTGTATGCCCAAGGAGAGAGCTGGTCCTGGTGGAAGAGCCCTGGAGTCAGTAAAGATGCTCGCAGTCATTCTGCCTCTAGGTGGTTGTGAAGCTAGAGAGCCCACTTCTCTGAAACCGCTGCAACAGTCTTTTCTGGTAAGAAACTTGGGTGTGTCACAATCCTTATTTCCACCCACAGAAAATCCTCATTTTCATCATCACTGCCCAAGAAAGTTGCTCTTTCACTGATTCTTTGCATTGGTTTCCTGGTAGGACTGAGTGGACTGGTGACAGCTGCACAGTATTGGAGATTCCAGGTTGGGCATTTGATTTTGAGGTGGTGGGGGAAAAAGGTGGGTTGATTCTTAGGGGCCATAAGCAACATGTGGGGATAACCTTTTGGCAGCAAGGTTGAAGACACATTRGTGGAAAGTGACGATATAGCAAAGATGATTCAAGAAATGTGAACCAGATTAACTTCAATGCACACTAAAAGTGCATATTTAAACTTCCCTGTGTGGGACAAGGGTGTAGCTCAGGGATGTAGYTTGCTTAGCATGCTTGAGGTCCTAGGTTCAATCCCCAGTACTGCAGAAATAAATAAGTAAATAAACTTCCCTGTTATATAAAGCAGGATAATAAGCCCTGGCTCTAGGATCAAACTAGGTTCCAATCCCATCTCCACACTTTCCCCGTGCGTGGCTCCAGGCACAACCACATTGCCTTTCTAAGTCTTTTTTCTCATTCACAAACCAGGGATCACAATGCTGTCAACTTCAAAGGATTGTGATGAGGATTAAATGAGATAATGCATTTGCCAATTAAATAMACTCAATAAATATTACTACCCTGAATACCATGTGTCCTTAGTAAAAATAATTGACAAGAAAGGGAAATGAAATATTCTGAGACTACAAGGGCCTCTGAGATCCATTTATGTCAGTGAGGCCCAAAATCAGGATTCATACCATTCTGTTCATTCAAAAATGCTGAGGAAGGCCCCTCCGTGTGCCTTGGTGGGTCCCTGCCTTGTAGATTTTCCAATACGGAGCAGAGTTAAGAGTCTAGAAAGCTGTCAGGCTCACTCCCTTCCGGAGGTAGACAGCCAGCCTGGACAGTCAGTGTTCATGGCTTCTCTTGGGGGTCACAGCCCCATGTGAAGGACTGAGCCATTCTTGGGTGCCCTCTGAGGGTCTGTGAAGGAGACGGTAAAGCAGGAACGAGTGGAGTCAGGAAGAGCAAGTGCCTCCAGGACAAGAGTGGCAATATTGGGCACAGGAAAAACATAGGCATGGGGTGAGATCAGACTCAGGGAAAGACACAGAAGCCAATGATCAAGGAGGAATGGGGTCCCAAAACCGGATGAGCAGATAAACTGGGTGAGCAGATAAACTGGGTGCATCTGCCTGTCTTAAGTTCAGATCCAGGCAGAGAGTCAGAACTTCACTGCCCGCCTCAGGTGCAGAACCTTTTTGTGGTATCTGCTAATTAATCCTAACACAGTTCACCTGGGGCTGAAGCTGGACCAGGTAAATTGGGAAGATCTGGAGATAGGTGRGGAGGTAGGTAGGTGATGAAGAGAATCAGCAACAATCTTTTGAGGGTGCTTCTTGGAGCTTGCATTATTTCATTTTCATCCTCAAAACAACTMTATGAGAACTATTATGATCTCCCTTCTGTCCATGAAGTCACATGTCTACTAAGTGTATATAGGAATTTGGACCCATGTGACTTCAGGGCTCATTTCAAGCCCACCCCCCCATACTGCCCACAGCCAGAAGAGGCCCAAAGGACATTCCAGGGATGGAATCTGTCTGTATCTTTGTAAAGAGGAAGACACAGCCACATGATGCACTTGCAATCTTGGGGTCCCCTCGCCTTGATCTTACCACATACTCATCGATGAACTGCCGCAGGTCCTTGAAGCCATGCTTCTCAGCGATGGTATTGGGGTAGTGGCCATGCTTGTTGGCCACACTGTATGCCTGCACGGCTCCTGGGCATGTGAGCAGCAAGGCGGTCAGGTTCTTCAGCCCATACTTTGCAGCAAAATGCAACAAGGTGGGCAGCTCTTCATCCCTCTGATCTGAAAAAAGGGTCAAGGAGAACTTAATTGACAGATAACAATGAAGGCACAGGAGATGAAGCTGCCAAGTCTAGGATGACACCCAGTAGACAATCATTACTTACTGGTTGATTGGCATATCATCTGACATGCTTCCTTTGGGGCACCCCTGAAGATCATGTACTCACATGACAGAGAAAAATAAAATTTTAATTAATCAGCATACCAATAATTAATAGCCTACCTTCTTGCTCCAAAAGTATTGGAAAACCTTAGAAATAGTACCAATTCAGAAGGTGCTGATTTCGTTCTTTGCAGTGCAAGGGATGGTACCCAGGGCCTCATGCAAACTTGGCAAGGGCGGTACTGCTGAACTCCACCCCAGCCCTACAAGGTGATGATTTCTAGGGACTTAAATATCCACCACAAGTTGCAGCAAAGATCATATTTTGACCTTCTCCACAAAGTTCAGAGTGCTTTGAAACTATTGTTTTGTGCTAAGAGAAAGAAGCCCATCCTTTTAATTCTTATTCCCAATTTCATAATAAGAATGCCAAAAAAAGTAGATATGATTGTGTTGTGGAGTTGGAAGGAAAATCTTTTTTCTCCTTAAAGTTGATTTGTGGGACTAACAATTTATATTATATACCATTATACAGATGTATATATACATATATGATATAATAGCAAACCCAGCTTCCTATTCACCAGGTCATGATCCTTGGGAAGAAGGGTCTAAAACCATGCCCAGGTTCCCAGACTGTCAGGCCATGAAATATTATCTCCTGAGCCCTGAGTTGAGGCMTCTAGAGTAGTTACATCTACCAGACATGATGAAAGAACATTCCACAGCAGAAAAGTAAGGAGAGGCAACAAGAAAGAACACCCTCRGGACAAGGCTTTGTTAAGGCAGCTCCAACCTATGGTCCTCAGGCTATGGAAGGTTGTGACGCAGACAGAGGGAAGCCATGGGACTTGGTTCCATTTGGGCAGGGCCATCGTGGTATGACAGAAGAATGGTGTCCACAAGAAAACTGCAAAGGCATCCTGTCCAGAGCACTGGGCACCATCCTCGTGTGAGTGGTGTGACTGTCCCACAGTGTACAAGGCCTGCTCCTCCCTCACAGGACAGACACTGGTTTAGGTCTATAAGGAGCTGGCCACCTGGAAACATTTCCACTCATTGCTGAGCTAAGAACCTAGCAAAAAAAGTCAGACTCAGCTGTCAAGCTTGAGGACAGAGGCCCCAGCATGCTGGGGARCCCGCAGCAGGTGGTGCAACAGGTGGACGTCTGGAGAAGGCCTCCTAGAGGAAGCGCTGCCTGAGCTGCTATGGGGAGATGAGGAGAAGYGAGCCACGCAAGTGGCCACCAAGGCGGGGACAAAGAAACTGTTCCCATGAGTGGAGTGGCAAGCCCCATCCTTAGAGCAGGACCTAGAAGCCAAGGAATGGGCAGAGAGAGGTGAGGGCAGCAGCCCTGGGGAAGGGATTGTTAGCAGGCTGAGGTTTTGAATTTCACCCAGAAGGCRAGTGGGAACTACCATGTGTTTCTAGAAGGGGGTGAAGCGCAGTCACGTCCTTCATGACAACAGCAGAGGTCCTGTAAGATTAGGATGCCTCTAAAAAACTCCATCCCCTAGTGACGCGTGGCCRTCTAACATCATAGCACAAGGCATTACCATGTTTGTGATGACGCTGGTGTGAACAAACCTGCTACATGGTCAGTTGTGTAAAAGCACGGCATGGTTATGCACAGTCTATAACACTTGATGACAGAAAATGATAAGTGGCTTGTGTATTCACTCTACCATGGTTTTTGTTACTTTAGATTATACTTATTAAAAAATTATTGTAAAATATTCTGCTGTGTTGCCCCAGCAGCAGCCCTGTACATGTTGTGCCTACTGTGTTTCTTTTTGCACCATCTTCTCTTGTGCCTGATTTATCCTTGAGTCTTTCTGCTCATCTTGGCCCACAAGTATATGTGGGCCACAAAGGCTGGGTGTGGAGCAGGCCATGCTGGCTGGGTTGGTGTGAGTGCCCCCTAGAAGCCCCACACAAGGACGAAATCACCTGACTGCAATTCTCAGAAGGTATCCCCATGGCTAGGTGACTGACGCATGACCGGATTCAGATGTGCGACTGAGAAGAATCTCGGCCACCCAGGGAAGCAAGAGCCCTTCTCCTAGGGTGGGCTGTAGTGCAGGGGTCAGCAGAAAGAACCTGCTRGATGCTGAAACCAGCAGGCTGCTGGTCCGGGGGTCTGACTGTAGACTTACTTGTCATCATATCTTCTTCTTCCAGCTGGTTGATTCCAAAGAGGTGTAGTCCACTTGCAGGGATGTTGTTCTTCAGGGACTCGGTGAGCAGTTTATCCAGGGTCTCTGTGTTGTAGGGCACAATTTTAAAGGCCTGAAAAAAAGTGAAGGTGGTCAGACTTTAAAGATGTCCAGCTATCTCCTGCCCAGCAGATAAGAGGCTAAAAAACCATAAGCAGAAATTACATGCCCAAGAGAGCTCAGGCTTCCTGTCCTTACCTGACACATGAACTCCACAGGATTTGCAGCATTGGACAATAAATTCCCAATTTCTTCCATGTCAGTATAATAGCTTATAATGGTTTCACACACCACTAAGTCCCCAGAATATATCTTCAGACAAACGTTCCCCGATGAAAGGTCTAAACAGAGGAAAAGTTACTGTGAAAATGCCCAGGGAGAACAAGGATCCAGGGAAAAGCCTACAGATAGAGGATGCTTCACCGAATGGTGAAAATACTAATTGGGGGTTGGGAGAAAGATCTCAGAGGCCAGCCGCGGAGGGGAACCGGGGGAAGGGTGGAAGTGGAAAAGGAGTAGGCCCAAAGTGGCAGGGCTGCGTCAGAGCAAATGTCCTCACTGGGTATGCGATTTAAATTTGGAAGGATTTTCGTCTGTTTTACTTCCTACTGTAGACCTAGTGCCCCAATGACCAGGAAGAAAAGCTGGGTTTGAGGCACTTGATACAAAAGCTAGTGGTTGCAGAAGGTGGAGGATCCTGGGAGGTGACACTGTTCCTGCCACTCTGGGCTGGTGGGACCGGAAGGGGTTTTGAGGGGAAAGAAAAAAACTAAAAATACACCAACCACAAAGATTCAATTCACAAAAGAGGAAATGCTTGCAAATAGAGGACATGGAAAAATATTCAGCTTCATTAGTAATCAAGGAAATGCAAATTAAAACAATGGACTGCTTTTTAAAAACATGTGAAATTATTTATTCAAAGTGCCAGTGTCCGCATGGGTGCTGGAACAGCAAATAAGCTGGAGAGTGATAATATTTCAGAAGCCAGTTAAGCACTGTTGACCTGTCACCTTGGGGCTACTTACGGGGAGCCTTCACGGACACCGTGTACTCATTCTCCAGAGTGGCTTCCACCCTTATGGACGGAGAATCCTCAGGAGAAAATTCTGCTTCTGTTGCCACCTTCTCATCCAACTTACATCTCACAATGACGTAGACAGTGGTTTCTGCCTGGAATGGGAGACAGGTCATGGTCCTCTCTCCCTCCTGGGTCCCTTAGGGTGCTGGGCTGAGGGTCTCCCTAGCTCCCTGAGTCCCAGCTCTCTCTGGTGAGGGTGCTCCAGAGCACCATGGGATCAGCAGTCCAGGGCCAGGCAGGGAAGTCTGGGACACTGTCCCAATAAGACAAGTTGCCAAAGACAACAGTAAACATTTATAACCCCTTATAGCAATTTTATGGAGTTATTTTATGTCTGTTCAATGTAATAATAAATTTTTAAAGACTGGAGCTTGTATGCTATTGTCTTTTAATTTCATTTTATAGGATTCTTTTATTATTGTTTTTAGAAAATCACTGAATAGTTGCAAAATTGGCTTTTTTTTTTTTTTAAGAAAGTTCTTCCCCATGGAAGTTTGAGAAGCCCTGTTCTAAACTAGTCTTATTATTCCAAGTACAGCCAAGGGACCAGCAGCATTGGCACCCCTGGAGCTAGGTAGAAAAGCAGACTGCCAGGTCCCTCCTGGACCACTGACCAAGAGTCTGCATTTTAACAAGATGCTCAGGTAACTCCTCTGCACCTTGAGGGGTGAGAGGCCCTGGCCTGGACAGGGCTCTGCTCCTCATGCTGTTCCTAGAGGGCCAAAAATAACTCATTGGTGGATGGCAGGGGATGGGGGGGGCAGTAATTTTTCCAAGGTATCAAGCAACTTAAACAGCTCTTTTTTACTTTGTGGTAAGATCTCACACTGATTCTGACTCAGAATAGGCTGGGGGAAGGGAGGAGTGGCAGTTCACCAGATTGGGGTGGGGGGAGGAAGGGAAGGGAGGGGAGATGGGAAGGGGAAAGGGAGTAGAATGAATCGGACATTAATTTCCTATGTTTATATATGAATACACGGCCAGTGAAACCCCACACCATGTACAACCACAAGAATGGGAAGTCATACTCCATGTAGGTATGATGTATCAAAATACATTCTACTACCATGTATAACTAAAAAGGACAAATGAAAAAAAAATCTCACACTGAGCCTGCCAAAAGGAATTAAGGGTTGAGCATCCCTAACACAAAAACTCCAAAATATGAAACGCTTCAAAATCTGAAAGTTTTTGGAGCACCAACATGGGGCCACAAGTGGAAAATTCCTTGCCTGACTTCACATGACAGGTTGCAGCCTAAACACAGCTACACTGAAAGTATTATATAAAATTACCTTCAGCCTATGTGTATACACAGGATGAATGAACATCCATGTGATGTCCAATGAATGTTCATGATGAATAAAATAAATGGATTTTATTTTTAGACTTGGTTCCCTTCCTCAACATATTTTACTATGTATCTACAAATAATCCAAAATCCAAAAAATTTGAAATACAAGATATTTCTATCCCTAACATCTTAGATTAGGGGATACTCAAGCTGTATATATATTTTTTAACTGTGCTGGTTAAACTGGAAAATGCTCACTTCAGACTGATCTGGAAGATTAGGCTCCAAAATAACAGGGGGAAAAAGAAATTTCTGGTCACAGCTAATCCAAATGTTCATTCTAAGGTCCTGCCATAAGGTCCTCATGTAGACCTTCCTGACAAGGGCCACAAGAAAAGTACAGCAAGCTTGGATTTCAGAGCAGATGGAAGAAGGGGCAAATGTGAAGGCTAAGCATGCACACACACACACACACACACACACACACACACACACACACACACACACTGTGGTTGTGGTTACTCCTGCTGCAGGCTGAGCCCTGTCCTACATGCACCTTACCCCACGGAAGTAAGAAGCCAAAGATAATGTGTGTCCGTCCTGTTGATAGTCAAGACCCAGCCACCCGTGGACCCAGAGACCTAGAGAATGCAACAAATAGAGTCCCGAGATCATAGGCAGCCCAGATGGGCAAAGCAATGAGAACCCAGAAAATCAGAGAGGCAAGGGAAGGGAAACGTGCTTGAGTTCCAGACACACACAGGCACCCACGTGCACCCTTCCCCATGACCCTCTGACGTCAGGAAGCAGTATGGGAAACTGAAACTAAAATGCCCAGCCAGGTCCAGTCAGTAGGGGAAGGGAGTGAAGTTAGTATAATGAATAGGAAGTGGTAGGCACCAGCCAGAGGATGCACATCCCACGCAAAGGCTGCTCAGCCCCAGCTGGTCACCGCAGGACTAATATTACCCGCTTCTGATTCAAAGGAAGCTTGAAGCACAGATTATTATGGCTAATTTTAAAAACACTGTGAWGTTCAAACCAAACATGTCTATGAGTCAAACGCCCAACCGAGTCTGAAGGAGCAGTTTGTTACCCCATGGAAGGAACCCTGGCCCACTGTCTCGGGGCTATGGCTGCACAGAAACCCACTCCCAAGTGCAAGGGAGCCGGTGCCTATGTATCCTATCGCCAAGACTTTCACACCCTGCCATCTCAAGGAGACCACAGTGGCAAGCTTAGCCATGAGCATGAAACCATGAAGAATGCATTTCACTGCCCCAAACTGTCATAAATGCTACACATTTTGGGGACTGGGGAGGTGGCTCAGAGGTAGAGTGCTGGCCCAGCATGCATAAGGCCTGCCCTGGGTTTGATTCCCAGCACTGCAAAAAAGAAAGGAAGAAAGCTACATATTTTCCATCAAGAATAGAAAGATAATGAAAACTATCACTACCATGTTCATTGCTCATCTGTTGACGAACGGAGTGGCTCAGCTGTTGGGCCGTCACAGTTGAGTCACCTGTTAATATATGCTCTGCACTAAAAATGCCAATCACATGATACTAAGGCATTTATYCAATCTTTTTATCAAGCAGTATTGGCTATTGAGTTTCATCCATCAAGCTTTAAGGCAGTCTATTGGGCCAGACCAGTGGCCAGTTGACAAAAAAAGCAAGCTCTCAGCACGCCCCACCTCCTGGTCCAGTGCCAGACCAGCAGGAACAGACACAGGACTCTAACTCCAAGGACAGCACAATATCTGAAAGTATTCATATTTACTGGTGTCCTGCATGTTCTATGTAAATGACCCATAAAATGGAAGTTTCACATGGATGATACATACATTCCTCGTTGACTTACAGGTCAAGACGTGTCCAAAGCCTAGGTCATGGGGGTCCCAAGGGAAATCCCAAGGGAAGGCTGAGATTATACTGAGGTGCAACATGAGACCTCCTCTCTTTACCATAACAAAAGCATCCATTTGAAAAGCCCACGTTCTGACATGGATCTCCCAGGCCCCCAGGAGTGCCTACCCCACAGCGAATGCGGTCCGGCTGCACCACCATCGGGTTCCCAGGTGAAGTCTCCGTTGGCAAGTTCTGCTGCTTCAAGTAGGGAAGGACCTTCTCGTCCTCAGGCTCTGTGTCAGTGACTGAGTCACAGCCAGAATCTACAGAACAGAGGACACCACTGAATGGGAACAGAAGAAAGAACTAGTGGGCGTGTTCCACCCCACAAGAACCCCAATTATTACCGCATAGGAAAAGGCTCTGAATGTCAAGCAAATTTAAGCTGAAGGGAATAACTCAGGAAGTTATAAAAGAGGATCCAGTGGGGAAAAGTCAACCACCACGTGGGCCCCAAAGTAGGGTGACAGCAAAAGTGGAGGGGAAGGTCAAGTCTAGGCTCAATCAGCATGTTTCCAGAAGCTTCACCGAGGCCTTCTGCAAAGTCAAATGGTTGTGAGGAGAGGAGTCAAAAAGGAACTGCCTACTTTGTCGCGATCCAGCCATGGCTGTGTGTATGAGCTATGCACATTTGAGCATATGAGGGGACTGGCCTGATGTTGCTGCCTGACTGGGCTGTGCGACCTATGTGTCCTTTTCTCTCTCTCTGCCTTTGATCCCACACAGCACCTGAGGTGGGTGTGGCTTTCCAATATGTCAGTCAATCTGCTGACAGCAAGACATCACCAAGCAAGACTCCACCCTCCCAAATCCAATCCCTTGCCTTATTTGGGTGGAACTTTCTCGAATGTCTTTCTCCCCAACAAATACCAGGGTTCAGGATGTGCTTCCTCTCTTTTGCTCCTTCCAGCACTGGAGCTGACCCTTGGGGTCACCRAGCCTAGCTGTCCTGCCTTAGAAACTTATGTTCATGTGCAGCGTGGTTTCTTCGACGTTTTATTGGTTATTGATACAACCACCCCTTTGAACCCAGTTCATATCGCCAGCTCACCAGCTGGTGATACTACTTAAAGGTCATTCTTGGAACACAGAGTGAAACCTGTGTTGCCCAAAAAGTCATGAGACCTCAGAGTCAAGTTTGGCCAATGTCCCCCACCTCCTCTGGAAGCCACAGTGAGAAGCAATCATTTTCAAAAAAACCTTAGGTCAGTCTAACGGGGTTCCAGATCAATACCATAGCCAACACCTGTCCTGGAAAACGAGGGCATGCACAGGTTCAGAGAAAGTGAGCAGGGGCATGTAGACATGTGAGGCATGGCAAGTAAGTGCACAAAAAGATGCTCCACATATTGGGTCATCGGGGAAATGCAAGTTAAAACATCCGTATACTGCTAAGCAACTCAGTGGGGCCCTGTCTCTAAATAAAATACAAAATAGGACTGGGATGTGGCTCAGTGGTCAGGTGCCTGTGAGTTCAATCCTTAGTACCCCATCCCCTGCCAAAACAAAACAAAACAAAAAAACAGTGTGCTGGGCACAGTGAGGCATACCTGTAATCCCAGTGACGCAGAGGCTGAGGCAGGAGGATTGAAAGTTCAGAGCCAGCCTCAGCAAATTAGCAAGCTCATTACTAAGCAAGCAAATTACTTAGCAAGCAAATTACTAAGCTACTTAGTGAGACCCTGTCTCCAAGTTAAAAAAAAAAGGGGGGGGGCTGGGGGAGCTGGGGCTATAGTGCAGTGGCAGAGCACTTGCCTAGCACATGTGAGGCACTGGGCTCGATCCTCAGCACCATACAAAAATAAATAAATAAAATAGAAGTATTGTATCCATCTACAACTAAAAGATTTTTAAAAGCAGGGGGCGGGGCGGGGAAGGGGGTGACGCTGGGGATGTRGCTTCACAGTAAAATGCCTTTTGGGTTCATCCCCAATACCCCTCCCCCAAAAAAGTCTATGACATCATACCAATACATATTCAGCAGAATGGCCAAAATTCAGAACACTGACAACACCAAATGCTGACAAGGACATGGAATACCAGAGACTTTCTTTCATTGCTGGGGCGATTGCAAAGTGATACAGCCACTTTAGAAAGACTGTTTGGCAATTTCCTACAAGACTAAGTATATTTTTATCATTCAATCCAGCAATCATGCCCCTTGGTTTACCCAAGCCAGTTAAAAACTTACACACAAACCTACACACAGATGTTTACAGCACCTTTACTCATAAATGCCAAATCCTGGAAGCAACCAAGATGTCCTTCAGTGTGTGAATGGACAAATAAACTACTGTACAACCAAATGATGCACTATTATTCAGCCCCTCAAGCAGTTTCCTCAACAGACCTGGAGGAAGCTTAAATGCACATCAATAAATGAAAGAAGGATTAGAAAGTGACATGCCATGTGACACCAGCTATATGACGTTCTACAAAAATGCAAAATGAAGACAATAAAAAGATCAGTGGTTGCCAGGGGTCGGGAAGGAGGAAGAGGTGAACAGGCAGAGCACGGAGGATTTTTAGGCACAGAAAATACTCTGCATGATATTTTGGGATGGATACATGACATTACACATCTGTCCAAACACACAGAATATAGACACTGAAAGGGAGCTCTAGTATAAGCCTTGGACCCCGAAGGATGAGGATGGGGCCAAGAGGCTCATCTATTGTAACCAGTTGCCATTCTGGGGCTGGATGCTGTCAGCATGGGATGCTGCGTATATGCAGGGGCAGGGAGTGTGTGCGAAATCTCTGTCCCTTCCACTGGATTTTGCTGTGAACCTCAAAATGAAGTCTTTTAAAAAATAAATCAGTACAAAAAAAAAAAAAAAAAAAAAAGGAAATGGTCAGTGAGAAGATAACTCTGCAGACACACCTGGAAATTATCAGCTCCTGGGGCAGATGGGGGACCATGGAATATTATTTAAACTTTTCCTAATTCTCATAACTCCAAAATGAAATTTAGGTGGATTGTCGATTGAAATGTGAAACAAAAATAAAACAATTTTTAAAAATTAAAAGGATAAAATTACAAGGGAAATATGTTGTCATTGATTTGGGAGAAGCTTTGTTAATCAAACAACTAAAGAAATCACCATCTAAATAAGCCACAGACTTGAAGATATGAATTTAAAACTTGGTAAACAAACAATACAGATGGGAAAAAATCCAAATATCCATCAATCAATGAGCAGATAAGCAAAATGTGGTATATCCATACAACTAAATATTATTCAGCAATAAAAAGAAATAAAGTACTGATACTGGATTGTAGTGATCATTGCACAAATCTGTACATATATTAAAAAAAGAAACACTGAACTGTTTTTTTTTTTGTTTTTTTGTTTTTTTTGTTTTTTTTTTTTTTTTGGTGCTGGGGATTGAACCCAGGGCCTTGTGCATGCAAGGCAAGCACTCTATCAACTGAGCTATAGCCCCAGCCCTGAACTGTATACTTTAGATGGGTGAATTGTATGGTCTATGAATTTTATCTCAATAAAGGTGTTACCCTAAAAAAAACCCAATGGCAAATTTCAAACTAGTTAAAYATTTGAAATAAGCCAGGTGTGATGGCGCATGTCTGTAATCCCAGTGGCTAGGGAGGCTGAAGAGGAGGATCAAGAGTTCAAAGCCAGCCTCAGCAAAAGTGAGGCACTAAGCAACTCGCTTAGAGACCCTGTCTCTAAATAAAATACAAAATAGGGCTGGGTATGTGTCTCAGTGGTCAAGTGCCCCCAAGTTCAATCCTCTGTACCAAAAAAAAAAAAAAAAAAATTGAAATAACTATGACATGGGGCTAATCTCTTTCATGTTAGAGGAGGTCATAAGAATCTCTTTAAACACCCAATAACCAGGAAGTAGGTAATTCCCCAAAGGAAAAAAAATGTATAAATTCTCTCCCCAATTCAAAAAATAAAGTAAAATAAAATATCACTCATTCTCACTCATCATCGCCAAGATGCAAATAAAAATAATGCATTGTTCTTTTATCTCTTGAAATTATAAAACAAGATCCAGGTTTGCTCCTTGTGCTGTTTGAAGGTCACCATGGGGCAGATGCTCTGGCTTGACACTGAGCAAGGGTAAGCTTTCCGGAAAGCCACGCATCCAATCCACAGGAGAGAAATGCTTTAGAATGTCTATACTTTTTTGTCACATAATTCTACTTCCAGAACTCTCTCTTAAGAAGGAGAATAACTGTGCAAAGTGTAGTCAAAGATAATGAACTAAGGATGCCTTTGCAACAGTGAAAAAACTCAAAGCAGCCTGTCTGGAAAAACATTAAACACATTCTTTTTGTAGAGTTTCAAGTGACACAGGTAAAAGCTTACAACATATAAAGCAAAAAAAAAAAAAAAAAAAGCAGAATATAAAATCATATATCTCCTATACCTCAGGATTTCAACTGTGTTTCCAAAATGCATTTTAAAAGGTCAGAAGAAATTGTGTGGCTGGATTCTGCATGACTCCTTTCCTCCCGCCTCCTATTTTCCCTCCTTCCCACCTTTTGTGCATTTCTCGTATTTTCCACAGTGAGAAAGCCTTGCTTTGATCATGGGGGTGGGGTGATGAGAAAAGTAACAACTGAATCCCTGGGCTAATCACTGTGCCAGCAGAGCCCAGCTTGACATAAATGAGATTGATCCTAATAGTGCGGCACTTGGCAGCTACTCCCCAGTGTTCAGCTGGGCCATGTAAACACTTCCTTCCAGCGGGTCCACTCAGGGAATCACTTTAGATAGCTACCAGCGGCTCACTCGTTTCAGGAAGTCAGGCAGGATGTCATTCACTCCATAGAGGGATGCTGATGGCGCCACCAGCTGACAAGTCACTGTGGCCTCTTACTACAGAGAAGCCAGGTGTCTCAAGGGGCCGGGGTCCGAACAGTTCAGCAGATGAAAAGCTTCCTTTGCAGGAAAAGCCAATGCGGACATGAGCACCATGGAAACCCACCTGACAAAGCAGATGATCCCAAACTCTCCCACTTGAATGTGGAGACCCCTCTTGCATCCTACCCCACCTTTGAAGACCATACCATCTTTGCTGCCAGTGACTCAAATACTAAATGCTTTGAGTGAAGCCACCCTGGAAATCGCAATGGCTCCTCCACAGTGTAAAAATGTTATTAAGATGCCAACAGTAACTTTGCTGCCTTAAAATATAACAAAATCTACTGGGCTCCTATCAGGTCTAGAGAACTGCTGGAGAAAATACAGAAAGATCTCTTCGGGCATCCAGTGCCCCCAAATCTATA